GAAAGCGGCACTTGGCGCCAACTTCTCGTCCCTGATCTGAGGTCCAAGGCACGGTCGGCCTCGGGCGAGGAGAAAACGTCGAAGGTCTCATTGAACCACACCTGCTCCTCCCAGTTTTGCCAGGTAGATGATGATGGTGACCACGAATGACGGCCATCATGACGCTTGTGATACAGTAAATGATCGTTGTGAAAGGTTGAACTATGTGTCTCTCCCAGGCGAAAATGCTGTGATGATACCAAAAAAGAGAGAGAAAAATAAAAGAAAGAAAGGATATCTCACCAAAAGAAAACATCGTCACATTTCTGAGCTGCAAAACCCAATAGTGACAACAACGGTTCCCTTTGATTCCTTCGTGAATATCTCCATGACTTGAAAGTGGTTTCGTGGATGGAAATGGTCCAGCAATTGTCTATACAGTTTAAACCAAAACTAGCTGTTGCTGGGTGGGGGAGGTTCACCCAAATCTGAAACAAGGCCTCACATAGCCGGCTACTCATGCGCTAAAAATACACACCACCGTCCGCTGGTGTGCTGCTGCTACGACCACTGCTGCTACCACCACCACCACCACCACCACTACTTCAACTGCTACTGCTACTGCTGCTGCTTGTGCTAGTGCTACTGCTGCCACTGCTCCTGCTGCTGCCTTGTCGACTTTGGATTTCGACACGGCATGGTGTCCTTCCCATGTGCTGTACATCCCCGACCCGCTCCTGAAAGTTCTCAGGCACTTGAAGGCCGTCGACCAGCTTCCGCAGCCTGTGCAGCTGTGCCACGCAGCAAGGAAGGGATCAGCACGTGGGTCTGTCTCACAAGTCAATTGGCTCCCCCCGGGGCCAATGAACCTGGAACATCAGCGATGGTCATCGCTGACCACCCCGAAGTGGTTGATCCCATTGCAAAGTACCACATGATGAAGGTTAGAGCCTTCTGACTTGCAACGATCAGCATGATACGACCCAAAGCAAATGCTGATCGGAAGCCCATGGAAGGCCATATTTGTAGAGGACTTCCTCCATGCAGGGACCGCCCCTCAGAGATCCAAACGCCCCGACCCTTGGTCATCATGGGTCGATATATGTATGGAATATGACGGAATTGCATGTCATGTTCGGTCCTGATGTCAATGCTGAGTGGCTGCAATGTGGCACCATCACACCGTCAAGCTGCACAAACTCGAACCTCCTACAGTAAAAGCTTCAGAGACATGCCTGACTGGCACATGGTCTAAGAAATGACCGCCCAAGTGACATGCTTTGCCCAGCCTATCTTCGAAGGGTCGAATGAACTGCCGCCTCAACATCAGCAAAGGGGACAAGCTCACATGCCAACCTGGCAGAATGCTAGGCAAGAAGAAACGCATGTAAACGCCTGTAAACGCTGCAACTCCAGTCGGGGTAAACCTCGCCGTGTCATTTAAGCAAGCTAGCAGCTTGTCTCAATAAATCGGCTCCTGGGCTGGCCCGGCTGGACAATGCCTCAATCTCGGTCTAGAGTCTAGAGTCTAGTTTACGTAGTTTATGAATCTGAATAATTAGCGTGTTTATGTTTAAACTCTGAAAACCAATCTCTTTAGCCTCTCCTGCTTCCCACAAGCGCCACCACGCCACTGCAGCACCGCGCCTGCGCCATCCTTGCGCGGGGTCTCGAGCAATTGTGACCCCCCGCGTTATCAATCAAGAGCCTACATTCATCAATGATCACCCAATCAATATTGTTTGGCAAGAGATCCTGCATCACCCAACGCATTGTGAGCAGTTGGGATTCTGGTTGTGGAGTTCCTCCCATAGTTCTCCAGCGTTGCTGCACAAGAGCATCGTCACTTTCAAGTTGCCAAAACCATCGAAAACCAATTGCTTCAAAGTTTTGCACTTGTTCCTTCTTGTGTTTCCCATGCCCATTCTTGAGGGTTTTTTGCACCTCCTTGCACACCCACTCACACCCAACTGCTCTCCACATCTCCTCCGCTACCAGCTCCGCCTCTCGCGCGCCCAGGCGGAGCAAAAGCTCGCGTGCGGCCACTGCGGTGGCACGCCAGGGGCGCCTGCACTGCAGGGAAAGGGCGCGCGGCCGAAGACAAGCGATCCTGTGATTTCCGAGATGGACAAAGAAGAACAAAGCCCAGAAAAGGGCCCTGTGTCACAATAATAAAGTTATGTACACCTTCTGAGTGTTTTGGGCCCTGGATACTGTAGCATTCGTGAATCAGCGGGAGTCCCGGCACAAAAAACACAAAAAACTAATTACTTATATTGACTTATATAATATACTTCGACTGACCCCTGCCGTTCAATCTGACAAGTTTTCCGGGATGTATTGAAACATTGTTTCGGCATTCTTTCTGGCATATCTTCTGACATTTTGTCTGGCATTATTTCCGGCATA